AGGTACTGGCAGCGTTCCCCCTTTGAATAGCTAGACTAATTCATTTGGCTAGATGTAGTACTGTAAATAAAATGTGTCCAAAATAAATCTAATTTTCACTGAATCGTACCCCGATCCATCTCACTCAAAAGCGACCAGGAATTTATAGCAACACCGATAAGGCTGAGGTCAGAGGCAATTCAACTGGAAGACGGAACGATAGCGTGTCATTCACTACCCTTGTCAAGGTGCCTTAAATGTTTAAACGATTCATAACACAAAACAAAATCTAGTCACATACCCTTCTAGTACGTACTAGCTAGTAAATACTTATTGGTACTGTGATACTACTACTTGGTACTGAATACTGAGTATCTTACAGTTTAAAGAGATCATGTATTAGGCTATAGTTAACAATGCTGTCTTTAATATATTTGTGTTATTTAATGTAGGTATAGTTTTAAATCCGGTAAACCTATCAAACAGTCGTACGTATTTGCCAGTGTTATTTTTAAGCCAACATCATCATCGAACTTAAAACTAATAAATTTGCCTGGAACTCGAATTCTAAATAAATATGTTGTACGCCTTGTGTGTTTATAATAATAATAAAAACTTTATTTATGACAAAAGGGTTTGTGACAGAATTCATATATCGCTAGTCCCCACACTAGGGAGGCCCTGTGTTGTGGGTAACTAGAAAACTATTACGTGGTACATGTTTAAATTAGTTAAAATAAAAGATAATAAAAATAATAATAATAATCGTTATAAATTTAGTGTTACAAATGAAGTGAATGAGTGAGAGTGTGAATAGGTGTGTATGCGCATGTATTTGAGAGTGTAGCTGAAAGTTGTTATGATCGTGCACTGTGTCTGTGTTAGTTTATGAAACCTCAAATTCATACCAAGATATGTAGTAATGCCTCTGTAGATTCGGAATCCAATTTGGCTAGTGTAGTTTCTATGTGACTTGCTAGTTTATATCTGGATAGTTTTACGATCTCAGAATACATAGATTTGGAAATTTTGTTATAAAGGAAGGGGCCCCTAAATGCAAAGGAGCGTTGACTAAACACAGTCCTTTGTTTTGGTGTAAATTTGGATTTACAATAAATCGATAGATTACTTGCTTACGATAGTTCCACATTTATTACTTACAGTTAAATAATTTAGAATTTATTATCACCTACAGCCACCATACAGTAACAGTACTAATAAACACAGGTTTATGCTTTGTGATTGTGATTTGTCATATATTATGATTAAAATAATCATAGGTAAAATAAGTAATACTTATTTTCATTTCCTTCAAAAAAATCATATTATCAAAAAGCCTTTAATATGAATATTTTAAAGAAAGGCGTACTGAATTCAAGCTTGTACGTACTACGTATATTCATTAAACTGTTTTGAAGGCGCATCACTATAATCAAAAGTCCAACATGCAGTAATTAATGGCTCTTGTTTGTTTGAAATCAAATAAAATGTTCATTCATAAGAATAATAATAATATAGCCTTTTGTATTTCAAAACTCTGTTATCTGTGATCATTAATATATTTTCACTACAGTATATCTCGGAGTTCGGTGTTCGCTATCCTTCGCGACTCTTCTCCAGTTGTAACCTGCTGTTAGTTTGAGTTCTTCCGCCCATCTTAGCGTTGTCGGCCTCGTCTTTGTTTTCCGTCTCTGGGTACCATTCCGTCAATATTTTGCTCCGTACCTTACCCGTGCATCTCCATTTAATTTGGATAGACCAATATAATTATTAATAAAATGTTCATTCATAGTGAAATATAAAATACCTGTTTTTGTATACCTTCATTTATTAAATTATATTAATTGAAATTAATGAGAATTCTTTATTTCAAATTTAGTCTAATCTGTGGATTTACAATTTTTTTTTAATTCCGAGATAATACTTACTTATTTAGTATGTAAGTTGAAATATCACATTTAATTCTACTTTTATTAACGTGTTATATTTACTTTAATTTATAACAATTGTACTATTTATTTATTTATTAAGTTTACGACATCATACATAGTAGTAAATCTACTGATTATTTTACAAAATCTTCCATCTAAAATGTATGACAATTTAAATAAACATAAGTTTTACAAAAAACAGAAATTAAGAAATACAATTAAAACATATACAAGATAAGATAAGCACACAAAAAAATAAAATAACTAGAAATTTGTTGGTACTGTACTATAATCATTTTCTACGCTTTAGCCTGTTTAGCACTCGGCAAAGAACAAGCGAGTTACTCATCTGCTCATATTCTCGTCCTGGCGTTGCCGCGATGACAATGCTGACTCGAGTCTTTAGTTTTCACATAATGCATAATGTCTATTTGTTGTACATCGGGTAACAGATAAAGTAAAAGTGATAAGCTGGCTGGAACGTTAACGTGAATGTATAATATGATGTCGTCTAAACTGACTCGCTTGTTTATTACAAAGGAGGCTGTCAAGTTTTAGTGGAGTATACTCGTATATCAAGCGTACTGTTAGAACTGCCCGTTATTTCAGCGTTTTAAAAAAAGGAAGTTTATTTTAAACTATAATTAAATTTAATGATGAAATAATTCGTTACAATAAATTGGAATTAAGCCAAAGAATGTGTTACCGCGACGGATGATGAAACCGAACTAAACTCAGTAATATTTATCATTAATTGATAATCTGGCGAAAACATAAAATGTCAGCAGTATTATTATTTATTAGTATGTATAGAGCTGTATTATAACAGTACGTTAGTTTTTGCCGCGCACCACCACTATGTGGAATCAGCTGCCCACTGAAGTACTTTCGAACCAACTCGACTTAGGGTTCTTCAAGAATGAACGTACCAATTCTTATAAGGCCGGCAAAGCACTTGCGAACCTTAGTTTTTGAGTTAAAGTTAAAAAGACGGTTATACGACAACGTGATTTGCTATCACGCGGTCTGGACCGCGTCGGTCTACCGTATAATGGGGGGATAACTATACACGTTAATGCTACCATCAGTTGGATAGTTAAAGATAATCTTTTGAAAGCTATGCTTTGTATGCGACTTATTAAGCCGCACACATATTGCAGTATGCTCTAACTAAACACGCCCAAACAGTAATTCCAGAGCCTTAAAAGCCCATTACCAACCGTATGTTCAACCTAATGAGTAAAAATATTAATAGCCACGCTATTAATTACGATAGCTAAAATTTATTACAGCGCTAAGGCCAGCTTAATCGCCTGTTCTCGTATAACGTTGTATGTTATTTTGATAACAGGTAGCATTTGCGGTTTTAATTATCTATATTTTAGGGTCTAGAGCAGTGTTTCCCAACACTCTTGAACGTACTTACACTTATGAACGTCAATGAAGAAAAACAAATTTAGTGCTAAATGCTTCTAATTTTACATTTATAGTCAGTTCTCAAATTAAGGGCGTAGAACGGAAAAAACTCCCCGTTTTACACAATATTTGTGAGGAGCTGCAACCATTACACCATGTTCCACATGTGATCTTAAGTAATTAATAGTTAATAATAAAAAATATTTTATTTTAATTAAACCAAAATATAATAGTTTAATATTGGCACAAGAACTTTGGGAAACACTGGTCTAGAGTATTTATAAGCAGTTAAAATGAGAGAATGCATAGTTGCTGTTTATTGTACTAAGAGTCTGCAACTCAAAACCCGAAAAGAAAATTGTCAAAACACACTTAATGTGAAAGAAATCTAGAATTTTATGTCAACAGGCAAACTAAGATTGGATTAAGACATTTATTGATGAAAAACATTTTCATGAATTATAATAATTTAAAATAATTAAACTGTGAACATGGGTAAGCCACGCAAATTAATGCTACAGAACAGTGCTTTTTTTTTTTTTTTTAACGTCAGGAAATGCTTTTACGCATATCCCTGCTGAATTTTACTCCAGCGGGGATTATGTGGGACTCAGACATAATATCTTCACACCTACCCACTAAAACCTGACGGATGCCTTCGGCTCGCCAAACAACAACATAACAGTACATAACAAGATAACAGTGCTAACGCAACACGTAACTCGAAAATTATATTGATAAATTATTTCCATACAATTCCTTATTCAAATCTCATTCCGTCTGAACGATAAACGTTAACCCATGCAAATATATTTTATTATAGTGTTGACACAAATTTAATACTAAAAAATCCAAACATTAAACTTTAAAGCCTCGTAAAATAAAATATTGTATGGTTTTTATTTCGCACGGAGTTAAATGTTGAATATTCATAGATGGTTTGATGCGTCGTTTCACAATTTCATATTTCTGCAGTAATTTTTTATTGGAATTAAAATAATATTCGTGTGACGTCATGCATGTACGTATTGTGAATTTTCGATTTTTCATATTAATGAAATGAAGTTGTTAATACAGTCACGTAGTACGAAAAAAAATTACTTATAGTAAGTGAATAATCACGTGATACTACAACCTTATATGAGTTCAGCTACTTCATGTAAGAAACAAAAATGAAACAGTTTTGCAGCCTGCGGCACCAGGTGGTTCGGCATCCCATTGAATATAGTAAATTGAAGTATATACATGTACATAATAAAGTCTCTTCCATGTTAGAAGGTGTAAATTAATAAAAAAAACCTTTTATGAGCCTTGGCCGCAGGCAAGTAGGTGATCGCCGACTATCTAAAACACTGTTCATAGCCGGGGAAACTGTTTATAGAAAAAAAAACTAACATATTTTGGGTTGTTAACTGTAAAGATAGTTGTATAGTTATTTATAATAAAATAAATGTAAGCGTCTGATATTATTAGTTTTCTATCTGTCCTGTAACACCCAAACAATTATTGCATATGTCTTATGAATGATACTAGAAAATATATTATATATAAATAATTAAAATATGTTTGTAGAAAATTTTTCGACTTATTTTACGGTACAGATAAGTGCTAAGTCGTACACATATCTGTCAAATGGGTGTGTTAATCATCAATTGTCTCTGAATCTCACCAAAAATGTTTCAGCATCCAACCATCATATTGCTCACAGCATATATAGCGAATGCCGTAAGACTAAACAGCCTATTTCAAATGCTGGACGGGTTCAAGTCAGACTTTAACCTCCAAGGACAACTCCACGTTGGCAAAGACTACGCTATATTCCTAAGAAAACCGCAGGCACACGACAAGTACCTAACATACGAACTATATCAGACGAAGAACGTTGATGATGACGATTCTCAACCAAAACTATTAGCAATATCCAAAATACCCGTTTCGTACGTTCGAGAACAATTGAGAATATTCCGGGATGAATTGTATAGAACGAAGTATATAGACAATAATGTTATACCGGGCACTCAAGTGAAAACATTGAGAGAGTGGCAAATAGAGAGGGCATTGAACTCTCAGAATAAAGCCTTAATGGTCGGAGAGCCGTCGGTTTTGCGAACTCTGGTTCTGTAATAATTCGGTTCAATTGTTTTATTATAACGTAAATTTCCCAATATCAAAACAATATGAAATAATATCGTTTATTTATTTATTTACAAAAAACACAGTCCTATCAAGCATGTTTTATTGTTGTTCTGGATAGCTATTCTTTTTCTAACTAAATTAGCTTCTAAGAAGCTTGGTGTGCTCAGTGAGGCGAGACAGTACACTCCGGGCCACCGCTTGTAGCCCTATAGAGCGCTAATTCGGCCTCACATGCAGTACTGTTCTCACCTCAGGGCGTGAGCTTCTCAGTACCCTCCCCAGCTTTAACGAAGAGCGATTCGAATCGTCGATGTCCAATCCCTGTCCGAGCGGCTTGATCCCTTGGCGTTGCGTAGAGATGTGGGGTCCCACTGCATCTTCTACCGCATTTCAAGAGAGTGTTTAGAGGAGTTGTTCGGATTACCTGCAGCTCAAGCCGTAACACCTTGATGACCAATTTTCCAACATTCTAAGTGGCGACCCTACTCTTTTAAATAATAATTTTTAACCAAAATTCGCCTCAAAATTCGCAAATCTTTAAAAGTTTAATTTTGTTTTATAATTACAGTAGGTATTAAGCAAGTCGTGTGACCGTTTCACATGGAGCAGAAATATTAATGTACTTGTTAATTAGATTTTCAATGTCAACTAAGAGCAAATTTTTTTTTATATGCGGCTAGTACAACATCTATAAACAATTATTGTTACTCTTAAATCGACTTGAGGTTTCTGAACTAATACTCGTATGCCATGTTACCATAACACCCTGTATGCGATCTTTTATACAATAGCTAGACGAATAAATACCTCTATGATTTCTCTATTAAAACTTTCTAGCAAAGTAATAGAGAATAATTTAAATTCAAAGGTTCTAATTCATATCTCTCGTATAACACGAGTTTCTACTCTCAGTTACAAAAGATAAAAGAGCTACATAGCTGGTGCGGCTTGTGAAGCGGCTGAAAAAACTAAAGCATGCAAATACAGAGGTCTAGGCTCAGAATATGATTTTGTCCCGTTCGGTGTCGAGACCCTTGGTACGTGGGGTCCTAGCGCTTTAAGGCTTTTTAAAGAAATATCAAAAAGGTTAGTCGACATCACAGGAGACCGAAAATCTGGCAGCTACCTCGGACAAAGAATTAGTCTAGCGATTCAAAGGGGGAACGCTGCCAGTATCTTCGGAACCTTGCCTAAAGGGACTCCTTTTAATAATATATTTTAGTTTATGTTAAGGTTAGTTATTTATTTCAATGTTTTTTTTTGTATTATACAATTGTATATTATAAGTAAAATATAGTTTAGTATATTTCTATTATAATGTTACAAAATTGATTTTATATCATTACGAACATAACAAACCTCGATAGTATCTCCAAAGTAATATAAACGTGAATCATAACAACTCAATCTTAATATATATATTTCTTCTGTGCGTGTGTATGTGACTGAACTCCTCTCAAACGACTGGACCGATTTTGATGAAATTTTTTGTGTGTGTTCAAGGGGATCTGGGAATGGTTTAGATTCACAAATCAGCCCGGCAGATGGCACTGCAGTCGGTACTTTCATACTTTGCTTAATATCCTAATCGCTTTAAATATCATGCAGGACAACGTCTGTGGGGTCCACTAGTACCAATATAAGTACGCAATATTTTCCGTTCAACCTATTTCTTAATGCCAATAAAAGTGTTTTTATTTAAAACAAATAAAATCCCGGCGTAAAAATATTGTAGGTATATGTTAATTAATTAATATTAAGTGCTTTTAAATCATAAATACTTTATTAAAAGCTCATCAAGGCGTAAATAATTAAATGTATCCATAATGACGCCTTTTAAAAGCGAGAAACTGAATTGATTAAATTCACTCAGGAAATTAATCAGATTTAATAAAGTTATACAATATATGTTTTATTAGAATACATATTGAAATATATTTTTAAAAAGTCTTGAGGTAATTTATACAAGATGCGATGATTCGCACATTAAAATCCTATAAAGTTAATACATATTTGGTCATCGCTGTTCTGTTTCTAATTACATAATTTATTTTCAATGTTATTAAAATATTTGTTACAATATTTCATATATATTTCGAAGAGATATCAAGAGTCAGAGATAGACTTTCATAAACATTTTTTTCCTTAAAAGATAGTTGTATCTGCTTATGTAGTTCGTCAGGGACAGTCTCATATCCCTTTTTATACAAAAAAAGACTCAAAAATATGTCTTAATTTACGAAAACTACAATGAGACAATCTTGGATGTAATGTTACACAGACGCTACATAGTGGATTTTTTATTCGAGACGTTTGCTGATAGCACGTACCCTTCATCCTCAGAAGTCTTGCCATAAAATATAATTTAAAGCACCGCATTTTCCGAGGCATTGCCGATAAATATTCCGCGATACAGCATATTTCCGTCGCAGCATCCATCATCCCGCCCTGTACTTGCTGACAGGGAGTACAAAATCCTTCTATATCAGGCTGAATTTACATTTTTTAAAGATTCCATTTGTTTACTACCCTTTAAATTATATTTTTGTGTATATGTGTGTCAGTATATTATCGTGTGTTATAATTACGATGAATGCGATGATAAAAGGTGGAGTATAAAACAAACTAGATATTAAATTTTTACTGATAGAAAATATATAGACGCTAAAGTAGTGTTCTGTTATTCTAAGCTGATAGTTATTACTAAGTATATTATCTATATACCACTAGATAATATACTTAGTAGGTATTAATAATAACCAAAAGTAGCATTATCTTCTTCGGAGGTCATTGGTATGGCGTTTGTGGAGTAATAATGTTTAGTCCATATTCAATATATGTTTAAAAAGAATATATGTCCAAATCATAAAAAATAGAATATAAGAAATATGTTGAGAAAATCCACTCCGAGTTCCAAAGTTGCAGTTTTTTTTTGAGTTTGGCGCAACCCTAGTCCTACTAAAGCTTTTGTTTATATAAGTTTCGATTATTAAAGTCCCCTTAACGCTTAAAGCAAACTAGTTTCAATTAAAACTATCCTCCATTAACGCCTCTCAACTTTTTTTTAATAGTGCGAAAAAATGATTTTCTCGGTAATATTCATGTTCAATGTTCAATTGGCAAGCGTTTATTTCCGTAAATGGCTGCTATAAAAAAAATTGCATGTCTAAAATAAATGGCACTTACATTTACGGTATCTTAAACCAGAAACATGTCTAGAACAAAGTTCTCTTAATAATATACGTACAGAGTTCCGGTGTGAATCTGGGCGAAAGTGCTCTAATGCGTTCAGTACTGCAAGTTTCTAAGTTTCTGGTATTAAATATAATATTTCCCAAATAAACTAACGTAGAAGCTTTAACCATATTTTCTTACTTTTATTTTACTACTGAGGATTAAAATCTAATAAGCACGGCGACTTTTGCTTGACCGTGTTCCTTATTAATAAAAAGGGTGCGTGTACTTATGTACGCGCGTAAGAAGTTATACTTCTTTGGCATTATTAAAAATAGTTTGGCTTTGTTCCACCTCCAGTTTTTGATGTTTCACAGCGATAAGATGACAACTCTTTTTTGTATTCAATTTAGTGCACTTACACTGATTCATCAATTGTTTTTTGTCTCTTGTCCTTATATTTGCTAGAGAAAAATTACATGTTTTGATTAAACAATGTGGTAATTTTTTTAATCAAAACATTACTCGATAGTAATAATACAAACTGATAGTTAACCTCAATTGTAATGAAGCACTTAGGAAGGTTGATGAGCACAGTTTTTTCACAAATATTAATTAGTATTGGTTTAAATATTCAATTTAAATCACTTCTGATTATATATAATTCAAAAAGCATTGCTAAATTTCTTTGAAAAAATAATTAAAACTCCTTTATTTGTTTAAAAGGTAAATGACAAATGTCATTATGGTCATTCAAAATTCTTGGCATACGAACTTCACGCATATTCTATTTCTTTTTACTTGTAGATTGTCTTATTCCTATCTCGCTCGCGCACGCTTTAATCACACTCCTAATTTTGTGTCACGGTGCGCGCGCATCGTAAAATTTCACTCTCATAAATTTTTCATAACGCGCCTAAAGAAGTATAACTTCAATAATTAATCGGTCTTATTTCAGTCCTCAACTAATCTTTTGTCTCTTTCTGTCAAACTCTATTTACGCTGGGATACAAATGAGTATGTACATTAATTATTCTTAAATGCACTTGCCAACCTTCTGGCAATGTGAGTGTCCATGGGCGGCGGTATCACTTAAGTTCTGATGAGCCTCCTGCCCGTTTGCCTCCTTTTGCATAAAAAAAGTGCGTGCGTACAAAGTAGGTACACTTGTCAGAAATGAAACTTCTTTGTGAAATAATTATTAATAAGGTAAAAGCCCCAATAGATGAGCGTGTACCAATATATGATTGCTCCATGTATTTGTATACCTACCTATATTTGTGAATATAGATATACAAATTGAAAACAAACGAAATTCTATTTTAAAAATAAAATTTCGTAAAGAGAATTTATGAAATATTAGTGTTTTATATTTTATGCAAAATAATTTATTAAAATCTCAAATAACGAATAAAATATAAAAAAAATATATATAAATATAAAATACTAATATTTCATAAATACTCTTTACGAAATTTTATTTTTAAAATAGAATTTCGTATATTGCTACGTTCGCCCATTCTCACCCTCTCTCAATCGGTCTCAATCGCTCTCTCCTTTGTCATCGACAAAAACGCTGCGCATCTTCGTGACGCTAATATTATTATTATTGTGTTTCATCCGTAAAAATTTTACCCTCAACCGCCTAAAAAAGTTTTACTTCAAAAATGTTCGATCCCTATAAACAACATATTAAGACTTCTTCATTGTATTTGCTTGCGAACAATGCTATCAATGTGAGTATCCAATAGAAGTTTGCTATCTATTTTTACAATGTTTTTATTTTATTGGGTCGTATGTTAACATATGGGGGA